AAGGTGTTAAGGTTCAAAATTAGTTAATCAATTACACAACTAACCGAAGAATACAAAAACTACTTCTCAAGTTCTATTATTTATGTTTAAAAAAAATCTAATATTTATAGATATAAAGGCTCCCATTCTATACCTCAAGTGGCGTACGTTACGGTTTTGGTACTACAGACACGGGTTCGTTACGGTTTTGGTACCAACCGTATCATTTTTACTAATGGGTGGCCTGATCCTGACCATTCCAGCTAGGAACGTTTTAATACCAGTTGATGAAAGGGGCACATTTTGCTTTGCATTTGCTCCATCCCCAACCAGACTATCCATCTTAGGGAACATCCAGCAAGAAGGCATCTAGATTTCTATTGACAGCTCAAATGGTTCGTGGGTTTTGGCCCCAATATTTGTAAACATATTGAGAAAGACGGGTCGAACACCAGGTCATATTGATGTTTGCATTGGTTACAGGGTTGACACTGAACCCACACAATATCACTCCCGGAGTCAATCACCATATATTGATTTTTTGCCGGACTCCCGACCCCAATCCTCACTAAGTATTCTCCACTCCCTTGATCCATACCGGAAACCACATCCGCCCCGAACTCCTCCACCTCATACTCGGCGGCTTTCCCACTGCCGCCGCCGCGAGTTCTGCGAATGAGAGCGGCGACTCTGTGTGCGTCCCTTTTCATCTGGGATCCGAATCGACGGCGGAAGTCGGTAAAATGTGCAGGAGCTTGAGCTTACAACTACCCTCCTCCCCTTTATGGCGGCTTTCATTGATGAATTCCTCCTGGGTTTTTGGCAGGGGTTGGAGTTTGATTGCCTGAGAAACCGATTCTTTAACGTTGAAATGCTGGTGGGGGGAAAGGGGATGGCATGGCTGGCTGAGGTATTGGTTTCGGTTACGGAGGTTGTAAAGAAAAACAATGAGGAGGATATGGACAAGCATTGTCAAGTAGATTAGTTTAGATTAGAGGTTTAAGCTAAGCAAAGCTTTGCAAAGCAAATTAAAGGTGTGATAGATAGATGGTTTGAAGAAGAATTGAAGAAGAAGAAGAAAATGTGGAGGTTCTTTTATAGTGTTTTTTTACTAAGGTTTAGAAGAAAAATCACAAATATTCCCTTTAAAAAAAAAATCAGAAATATTCCCTATCAAAAAAAAAAAATCACAAATATAAAAACAACAAGACTATTGTGCTCTTAAGATTTCACGGTTGAGACGGAGAAACTTAACGAAAGGACTAGCGGAGGTCATTTTTGAAATTCGGAGGATGACGGATGCTCAAAACAAAAGTTTAGGACTATTAATGGCGAAACCACTAAACTCGATTGTTAGTTTCGTGAAGCAATTCATAACTTTGCAATGAAGGTAATGATAATTTTTCTCCAAAAGGTTTGCTTATTGTGTGCCACACATGACTACTTCATAGCCTATTCTTCTTTCTAAATTTAAAATCCACGGGAAATAGTCAACTAGACACTTCAACTTTATATTAGAAGACAATTATGTCTCTAAATTTTAAAAGATCACTATTAAATACTTGCTGAACTCGTCATGTTAGTGCATCTGAGTCTAACAACGGATATTCAACTAGAACAACTGTTTATTAGGGTTTCGGTGATGAAACTGTTAGGAACCAGTGTATTTAGATTTTGATGATACCAATATTACTAGGATCGTAGACACCTCTTTTATTTTCGCTATATTTGATCTTTCGTGTTAGACGAAAGATTTAGCAACTCACCATGTGATTCGGCTAAGTAGCATACATACACGAATCTGAGTTGTGACCATTAGTTTAGGTCAACGAAAAGAAGTGAAGAACAAGAGAAGACCGAGAGAACAACACAGACCGAAAAATAGAAGGGTCTAGCTCTCGTGTAAACTTCGAATGATAAGGATATTGTTTTTTGATCTGCAACAACAACGAAAGATAAAGGAAATCTTTCGTGTAACTTCCTCAAGACCATTAAGTCTAAGTTAGACTTGAATAGACACATTCAATGCACAAACAAATAGAATGTTGTCTATGTCTCACAGTTGGGCAATCATCCTAGATAAAAGAAGTCCTTGGTATTAATAAAATACTTGTTAAATAAATATATATCATTATTTTATATTATAACTTTGATATTTAATTAAAACAAATATTGTACAAAAAAAGATAATAGACAATGTAGTGAATACAATCAATTGATGAATTTAAATTTAAAGAATTTTTACATTGGATACAAATAAAGACAATATAATTAATACAATTATTTCTCTTAATTAATTTATTGATAATGAATAATTATTTTTTAATAAAGACATTGTAGGGACAATGTAGCCAATATAATTAATTGATGAATTTGAATGTAAAGAATTTTTATATTGGAGAAAAATAAAGACAATATAACTAATGAATTTAATTCTCTTATTTAATTTATTGATAATGAATAATTTTTTTTTTTGAATAAAGACATTGTAGACACATAATTCTAAATTAAAGAAATGCATATGTATTATTTTGACTTAAAAAGTGGAGTTAATTCCATTCTTTGTCATTCTTCCAAAAGGCTGAACCCCAACCCTAAGGGCCCCCCACACCCCGGCCCGACAGAGCATTTGGGAGAATGTAAATCATGGTGACTCAACTGAACATGAACCACAGAGGCTAGACCGGTGCTCACTGCCCACAAGGAGCGCCCCTTACTTTGAAAGGTAATTCCATTGTTTGTCATAGATTTATAGGTGGCAGACCACTTTTAGTCATTTTTTTTATTAAAACATCCTCATTTAGTCCTAGTATTATTGTGTCATGACCATTTTTCGTTATCGTTTAACAAAATCGTTGAAATTAAATGTTGTTAAATATAAAGACATTTCAATCTTCATTATACAACGTAGGTTGAACCGTTATATATATTTTTTTTGTTTATTTTGTTGAAAAAAAATTCTATAATTGAAGATCGAAATGCCTTTGTATTTGACAATATTTAAACTGTTTTGTCGATAAAGCACAAAAAATAATTATGCCACAATAATACTAGGACCAAAAGTGGATGTTCTAATAAAAAAAAAAAAAAAAAAAAAAAAAAAAAAAAAAAAAAAAAAAAAAAAAAACTTAAAGTGGATTGTCACTATAAATCTAGGGCCAACAATGAAATTAACCCTTATTTATTTTCTTTCTTCACTTTATTACTGGTATTTTCTTAGCTTCCTTTAATCGTTTTATAAACATTTAGCTATAGAATTTGATGGATATATTATACCCACGACTCGACCCGGGGTAGCAACATGGACCTGGAGCACCTTGGTGGAGCCCAAGAGCAGCACGAACCCGGGGGACCACGGAGGTGCCCAAGAGCAACACAGACCCGGGGGACCACAGAGGTGCCTAAGAGCAACACGGACCCGGGGGACCACAGATGTGCCCAAGAGCAACACGGACCCGGGGGACCACGGAGGTGCCCAAGAGCAACACGGACCCGGGGGACCACGAAGGTGCCCAAGAGCAACGCGGACCCGGAGCACCATGGAGGTGCCCCGACCCGAGCCGACCTACATGGAGCTCGGGTCGGGGAGCTCGGTCCTACCCGAGCTCGGCACCACCCGGGCTCGGGACCCGACCCGACCCGGTCCACCCGGACCCGGTCAAACTTGAGATCTAACCACCCCCGATTTAAGGGGAGGCGGTTGGGGGGTTTGCTTGTATAAAAACCCCCCTCCTTGTCCTAACAAAGGGCAATTCATTCCACATTATACGATTATTACACACTTTTGTCCTACCGAATCTTTGTAATAGCCAAATACTACGGCAATTAATATAATATACGGTCCACCGCGACCTTTACGACATCGTTCTATATTATTCGTTTGTTATTCTTATTATATATTCTTATCCGGGTTTATTGATTCGGGTCCACCCCGGGTTAATTAAATCCATCATTGGTGCTCTTGTTAAGAGCTGCTGTATAAGCTTAAGCACTCTCCCCACTATCGTTCATCCCCAGCGATGGCAAGATCGAGATCCAACTCTCGTCATACCAATGGTTCCCGCCGCACCCAGCTCGTCGCGAACGGGAACGGCCGCAACGGGGCCCCCGCTCCCAGCATCCAACCAGCCACCTCCGCCAGGTCGAGGGAGGATCTGAGGGCCCAGCTCACCAACCACCGTAGCAGTGGTGCGCCACCAACACCCCCCGCCGCCCCCGCTCCAGCTCGCGCACTCATCCAGGAGGGGGTGGCGGTCTTCGAACAAGCTTCCACCGCGCTGGCGCGCGTCGCGGCGGGACTCCGAGCAGAGGAAGAAGCCGCCTTAGGCACCACCGGAGGGGCGCCGGCGTCGCCCCCGCCTCCTCCCACCCGGGGGCGCAGTGGCCCGAGCACCCGGCCGCCCCAGGCACCTGTCACCCAGGGGGAGGTCAACTCGCCTCGACCATCGGAGAGGCGGGGAAGAGGGGACTCCCGCCGAGACCGCCAGTGTGACGACGATGGAAGGGCACCAACCCAAACTAGGCCCGCCCTGGAGAGGTTGGGCGACCGGGTGCCAGCCCGGGAGAGGTTGGGCCCAAGGCCTGCTGCTAATGAGCCCCCACCAGCAGAATCCTGCTCCCGCAGGCAGGCACGTCAGCAGTCAGTCACCCGGAGGTCACCGAGCCACGGACCCCGGGCCCCGCCGCGACAAGAGGCAGGCCCGCGGGGGTCTCCTGGACGGGGGACCCGAGTCCCGCCTCGGCGTGCACAGGCCTCCCGGGTCGAACGATCAGGATAAACGAACGGTAGAGCTCCGAGCTCCCATCGGGTAGAGGTTGAGCAACTGCGGAGGAGGATGGATGAGCTCCAGAGGAAGTTCGACGAGAGGGACGGATCCCCAGAGCCCCAGGACGTGTTGTCCTCTCCGTTTGCAAACGCCATCATGGAGGAGCCCTTACCTTGAGATTTTCGCTTTCCCACCATTAAAGCGTACTCGGGGACCACGGACCCACGGGCACACCTGACCAGGTACAGAGCCGCCATGATGATCACCGAGGCGACAGACGCCATCCTGTGTAGGGGGTTCTTCGCCACCCTGGACGGGCAGGCGCATGATTGGTTCGGATCCCTCCCGGCGGGGTCCATCTCCACCTTTGCGGACCTCACCCGACAGTTCCTGTCCCATTTCGCCACTAGCATACAGCGGAAGAAGCAAATTGCCGACCTGTGTGATTTGAAGCAGGGGAGCTCGGAATCACTAGCCGAGTACCTCGGCAAGTGGAAGAAAGAGGTCATGGGGGTCGCCGACTTCGATGCGAAATCGGCCATGGTAATTTTCCGGAACAACTTGAGGTCGGACGCTTTTCACCAGGACCTCATCAGGTACCCCCCCCAGGACCTACACCGACCTGATGCACAAGGCAGCAAGGTACGCTGACGCCGAGGCTGCCGAGAAGAGGAAGAAGGAGCAGGAAGAAGGAAGAGGTCGAAAAGACAAGGCACCCCAGGAGGAGCGCAAGGCGCCCCGACCGCACCGGCGTGAGTACGCTGAGGGGCCCAGGATGAACCCCACACGCTATCTCACCCCGCTGACACAACCCGTGGGTACTATCTTGACGCATGCGGAGGACCAGGGAATCGTGGTATTCCCGAAGGAGGAGTGCATGAAGATATCGACGAGGGGGGACCCCAACAAGTACTGCAGGTTCCACCGGCAGAAAGGACACGATACAGACGAGTGCATCCTCCTAAAAAGACAAATCGAGCAGCTCATCCAAATGGGCTACCTCGGCCAATTCATTAAGAAGCCCGGCCAGGCGCAGGAACAGGCCCAGGGCCAGAAGCAGAGCAATGTGTGGCGGAAAGGGGGTGGCCAGGCGCCATCCACCTCGGCTCCTCCCCGCAAGAGGGACCACCACGACCACAGTTCCGAGGAGGAGGAGAAGACGACGGAGGACTCCCAGCCCCCGAGGAAACGGGCCATCTACGTCATCTTCGGGGGGCCCGAGGGAGGGGACTCGCCAGCCGAGCGGAAGAGGTGGGCGAGGAGCTTGTACGTGGGGGAGGTCACACGTACCCCCCATGAGAAGAAACCAAAGAGGGAGCCCATCACGTTCACCGATGCCGACCTGCCAAATAGGCCCCTCCCCCACCGAGACGCCGTGGTGGTCAAGCTGGACATCAACAACGTGGTGGTGCACCGGGTGCTCGTAGACACGGGTAGCTCGGTGAACGTCATGTACTACGACACGTTCACCCAGCCGGGTTCACGGGGGACTCAATTGAGACAGAGGGGTCGATCAGTCTGGAGGTAGAGATAGGCACCCCACCTCACACCAGGAGGTGGAGGTCGAGTTCGTAGTCGTGAAAATCAGTTGCGCCCACAACATAATACTCGGCCGACCCGCCCTGGAGGACCTCAGGTGCGTAATTTCCATGGAGCACCTGGGTCTCAAGTTCCCGGCACCGACCGGGGTCGGGGTCGCCCGGGGCGACCAAAAGGTAAGCCGCAGCTGCTACTTGAAGGCGTGCCGCCAGATTGGTCAAAAGGACCTCCAGGTACATACCATCGCCGAGGAGGCATTTCAGGAGGAGGTAGGTCGACCTCGGGCCGAGCCCGTGGTCGAGACAGAGGAGGTCATCCTCGACCTCAGCCGACCCGACCGGGTTGTGAAGGTAGGGGTCGGCCTCCAGGCCGAGCTCCGGGCACGGATAATCAACACCATCAGGAGCTACAAGGAGGTCTTTGCATGGGGTCCCGAGGACATGCCGGGCCTCAGCCGAGACGTGATCACACACAAGTTGGCCGTCGACCCCGCGGTCAGGCCAATCCAGCAGCGCAAAAGGTACCTCTCCGCCGAGAGGAGGGAGTTCGTCAAAAAGGAAGTCGACACACTGCTGGAGATTGGTCATGTTAGGGAGGTCACATACCCCACCTGGCTGGCCAACGTAGTCCTCGCCCCAAAGCCGCCCACCTGGAGGATGTGCGTGGACTACACCGACCTCAACAAGGCCTGCCCTGTGGACCCCTTTCCCCTCCCCAACATCGATCAGCTGGTGGACGAGACTGCAGGGTGTGCCCTTATGAGCTTCCTAGATGCGTTCAGGGGGTACCACCAAATTTTTATGGAGGAGGCTGACGAGGAGAAGACAGCCTTCACCACGCCAGAGGGGGTCTATTGCTACAAGGCTATGGCTTTCGGACTGAAAAATTCAGGTGCCACCTACACCCGAATGGTGGCCAAGGTGTTCAAGCAGGTCCTCGGTCGCAACCTCCAGGCCTACGTCGACGACATGATCGTCAAGAGCACCGACGCCGACCTCCACACAGATGACCTTACCGAGGTATTTTCAATTATGCAACGCTTCAATTTACGGCTGAACCCCAAAAAGTGCACCTTCGGGGTGCACGGGGGGAAATTTTTGGGGTACATGGTCTCGAAGAGGGGCATTGAGCCCAACCCCGACAAGGTCAAGGCCATCCTGGACATGGAACCTCCGAGGTCCCTCCGGGAGGTCCAGCGCCTCAACGGGCGATTGGCAGCCCTGGGCCGTTTCCTTTCGAGGTCGGCCGAGAAGGTCTTACCGTTCTTTGGAGTCCTAAAAAAGACTAAAGGCTTCGAATGGTCCGAGGAGTGCCAGAAGGCGTTCGAAGACCTCAAGACGTACCTGATGTTGCTCCCCCCCCCCCCCCCCTGGCCAAACCCGTTAAGGGGGAGGTCCTATATCTATACTTGGGCATCTCGCAGGCCGCGGTCAGCTCCGTGCTGGTCCGGGACGACGAGGGGGTCCAGCGGCCCGTATACTACACGAGCCGAGCTCTACGGGGAGCAGAGATCAGGTACACACCCGTGGAAAAGACCATTTTTGCAGTAGATGCGACGACAAAGAAGCTGAACCACTACTTCCAGGCCCACCCCGTACAGGTCCTCACCAACCAGCCACTAGACGCAGTACTGAGGGCCTCGGGGTCGGCAAGCAGGCTGGTCAGGTGGGCCATGCGGCTGAGCCAGTTCGACATCCAGTTCAAGCCCCGACCCGCCATCAAGGGGCAGGCGCTGGCTGACTTTATAGTCGAGTGCACTGCCCGGGAGGCAACGGAGCAGGTCAGGGACGAAGACGAGGAGTGGTGGACCCTCTCAACGGACGGGTCCTCCAGCACCAAAAGCTGCGGGGGTGGAGTCGTCCTCATAACACCGGAGGGGTTTCGGGCCTACTACGCCCTCCGCTTCGCGTTCAAATTGTCCAACAACGAGGCCGAGTATGAAGCACTCCTGGGAGGGCTCCGCCTCGCACTAAATATGAGGGTGGAGAAGCTCAAAATCCGATGTGACTCTAGACTCGTGGTGGGACAGGTCACAGGTGAATTTGAAGCAAGTGATGAAAGAATGAGGAGGTACCGGGACGTGGTGCTCCAGCTACTGGGGCAGCTGATCAATTATGAGGTCCTACAGGTACCCCGAGACCAGAACACAGATGCTGACATGTTATCCAAGCTCGCCCAAGGGGCCCCGGAACATATCTCCAAGATAGCCCGAATTGAAGATTTCAAGAGGTCGAGCTTGGATGCCTACCCGGTCCTACCCGTGCAAATCCGACCTCCCTGCTGGTTGGACCACCTCAAGGAGTATAAGAAGACAGGCACGCTACCTCCCGACGAGGTCGACGCCAAGCTGGTGAAACGGCGGGCCCCCACGTACGTGGTCATGGGGGACATACTCTACAAGAGGTCCTATAACGGCGCCTTGCTACGCTGCTTGTACCCAGACGAAGCCATGTCAGTCATGGAAGAAATCCACGAAGGGACCTGTTCAGCCCACCAGGGGGCCTTCGCCATGTCCCGGAGGGCCATCTTACAGGGGTACTTTTGGCCCAAAATGGCCAAGGAGTGCGCCGACTATGCCCGGGGTTGCGAGACCTGCCAACACTTCCAAGTCACCCCGGCCGGCCAGCCACGAGCTACACCCCCATCAGCTCGGTCATCCCCTTCTCCAGGTGGGGAGTGGACCTAGTGGGAGCTCTGCCCATGGGGTCGGGAAAAAAGAAGTACCTCATAGTAGCAGTGGACTACTTCACCAAGTAGGTAGAGGCGGAACCGCTGGCAACCATAACAAGTGCCCGTTGCAAGCACTTTGTGTACAAAAATATTTTGTGTCGTTTTGGGGTCCCGATGAAACTCATCACCGACAACGGATGCCAATTCGAGGGGCAAGAGTTCGAGGGGTTCTGTGCAAAATGGCACATTACCCACAGCCGGGTAGCAGTATGCTACCCTCAAGCAAATGGCCAGGTGGAAAATGCCAACCGCACCATTGTGGGTGGCCTGAAAAAGAAACTGGAATCCGCGGGGGGAGCATGGGTGGAGGAGCTCGACGCCATTCTTTGGGCCTACCGCACCACCCCCCGGAGGGCTACTGGGGAGATGCCTTTTTCCTTAGCCTACGGTTTCGAAGCCCGAGCTCCAGCGGAGGTAGTCATACCTTCCCGACGGGAGGAGGACTACGACCCTGACACGAACGAGGAGCACCATAGAATTGACCTCCACATGATTGATGACAGGCGCGAAGCAGCCGCGATTCGAGCTGAAAACTACCAGAGGCAGACCAAGGCATATCACGATAAGCGGGTCCGACCCCGCTATTTCCAAGTGGGTGACTATGTGCTCAGGAGAAGGGAGGCGAGCCAGCCCCAAGCCGGAGGAAAGTTTGCCCCTAATTGGGAGGGCCCGTACATTATAGCAGTCGTGGTCCGCCCGGGCAGCTACAAGCTCAAAACTCCCAAAGGAAAGATGATAGCCAGGGTCTGGAATTCAGAGCACTTGCTGAAATTTTACCAGTAGACCTGCCACGTGAGAGGAGGGTCTTCGCGTTGCTATTCTAGGAGGGAGGCCATTCCCCTCCCCTAATAATGTCTTAGTGAGCGGCAATAGTCGGAATAAAATCGCATATTACAGAACACATTGTGCGCAGGATCCCTTTTGTTACAAAGTTGGTTCTCATGCATTTTATCTCCCTTAAAAAAAAAAAGAAAAAAAAAACGTGAAACAGGGGGGAACGAGTGCTCACTCATGTCTTCCCCGCCCCCCCCCCCCCCCCCCCCGCGGACCCTAAGGGGGCACGAGGTCCGGCCTCGCGTACTAACCACGACGGAAGACGCACCCTAAGGGGGCACGAGGTACGACCTCGCGTACCAACCCCGACGGAAGAGCCCGGTGGCACAGTCCCGTCGGACTGTGCCCGAGCAGCTAACGCGCACCCTAAGGGGGCACGAGGTCTAACCTCGCGTACAAACCCCGACGGAGGAGCCCGGTGGTTTGGTCCTGCAGGACTGGGCCCAAGCGGTTTGGCGCACCCTAAGGGGGCACGAGGTCCGTCCTCGCGTACAAACCTCGACGGAAGAGCCCGGTGGCGTAGTCCGGAAGGACTTAGCCCGAGAGGCTAACGTACCCTAAGGGGGCACGAGGTCTGACCTCGCGTACCAACCCCGACGGGAGAGCCCGAGGACATAGTCCCGTAGGACTTTGTTGAAGAGGCTAGCACACGGCAAAAAAAAAATAATAAAATAAAATAAAATAAAAAATTGCCGTGCCTACCTCGGCCAGCTGCCGAGGCCGGCCTCGGCAAGCTGCCGAGGTCCGCCTCGGCAACCGCCGAGGTCCGCCTCGGCAACTGCCGAGGCCCACCTCGGCAGGACCTCGGCAACTGCCGAGGTGGCAGAAAAAAAAAAAAATCCCAAGTATTTCAGGGAGAGGCGATAGTAGGTAAAAGGTGGCACCCGTCACTGAAACTAAGGAGCAGCGGCCATAACATCCAAGAATTCTATCCGCGATATAATTCTTGGAGGGGGTCGGCTAAATTTTGGAGCTCGGAATTTTCCACCCATGGGGCTCGGGTCGGCGTACGGATACTCTCATTCGTTGACTTCCACTCGTAACGAAGAGAGTGGGGGACTCATGATGGATATATTATACCCACGACCCGACCTGGGGTAGCAACATGGACCTGGAGCACCTTGGTGGAGCCCAAGAGCAGCACGAACCCGGGGGACCACGGAGGTGCCCAAGAGCAACACGGACCCGGGGGACCACGGAGGTGCCTAAGAGCAACACGGACTCGGGGGACCACGGAGGTGCCCAAGAGCAACACGGACCCGGGGGACCACGGAGGTGCCTAAGAGCAACACGGACCCGGGGGACCACGGAGGTGCCCAAGAGCAACACGGACCCGGGGGACCACGGAGGTGCCCAAGAGCAACACGAACACGGGGGACCACGAAGGTGCCCAAGAGCAATGCGGACCCGGAGCACCATGGAGGTGCCCCGACCCGAGCCGACCTACGTGGAGCTCGGTCCTACCCGAGCTCGGCACCACCCGGGCTCGGGACCCGACCCAACCCGGTCCACCCGGACCCGGTCAAACTTGAGATCTAACCACCACCGATTTAAGGGGAGGCGGTTGGGGGGTTTGCTTGTATAAAAACCCCCCTCCTTGTCCTAACAAAGGGCAATTCATTCCACATTATACGATTATTACACACTTTTGTCCTACCGAATCTTTGTAATAGCCAAATACTACGGCAATTAATATAATATACGGTCCACCGCGACCTTTACGACATCGTTCTATATTATTCGTTTGTTATTCTTATTATATATTCTTATCCGGGTTTATTGATTCGGGTCCACCCCAGGTTAATTAAATCCATCAGAATTATTTTATTTTATTAAGAATTATTGACATGAATTTACACTGAAGCAATGAAGAAAAGTAATATATATTACATACAAGAAATGATTATTAGTTCAAAACATATTTGTTTTGTGTTTTGAGGGTAGCTAATAATAAATTTTTAAATTTACGATTCATTATATAATTGTTAATTTTAACATAAACTTGAGGTGAGAAACTAAAATAACCACTGAATAAACAATTTAGAAACTAATTGAGGACATATGTATAATTAGGGGTTAAGTTTACCATTATATAGCATAATTGAGAGACTAAAATTGTCAATTTCTCAATTATGTATATGTAACTTTATCTCTATTCAAAATACATGTACTTGGTAATGAACAAAAATCCATAAAATTGTACAAAATAAGTGGTTCAGTACAAACGAAGAAATTTCGAACAAAAGGGTCGGAACTCGCTAATAGGAAAGAAGAGAAAAACAATATAGAATATAAGATTTTGGAAAAATACCATTTTTTCTCCCTGAGTTATATACTTATATCATCCCCCCCCCCCCCCCCCCCCTAATTATTTTTGTAAGCACATTAGCCCCCTCAATTAATCAATAAGTGGCGGTTTCCCCCCTCCTGATATATTAAATTGACATTTCTACCCTTAAAGAAAATATTTTATTTATTTTTCTTCTCCAACAAATTATTGCATATATGTTGGAATGACCACAATCAGTAGGAATGACCACGATCGATTCGAACTGAACCGGACACTATTGCCATCGAATTAAAAGTTTCCGATTATGATTCAGATCTAGAACCCAATATTTGGATTTCAGTTTATTAAAATTATAAATAAAAAAAAAAACTAGATCCTGAACCGTGAACCGACAGTTCCGGATTCGATTTGCGATTTTGAACCGTCTATATTTTAAAATTTTAGATTTTATATTTTAAAATAGTCTAAATTCAACAATAAATGTATTTTATTTTTTCAGTTCAAAAAATGAATCGGCCGTTCCGGTTCGCGATTATAATAATCTCAAAATATCGGGTTTCGATTCTAAATTGTAATTGGAATATTTTGGTTTGGTTGCTATAGTGTCTATTTGGTTTGAACCAAATTGTGGATTGTATAATTTAACATTTTAGATGGGAAAACAGCCACTTGAATAATTCAGGGGGGAAAATTGCTATAAGTATATATAACTCAGGAGAAAAAGTGACATTTTTCCTAAGATTTTAATAGACTTTATAAAATAGTTTATATGTGAGTAAGTTTATCAATCTGAATTTTGGTGAGGTCGAATTGAAGAGTTATTCTAAGTAATACAAGTTTGGTGTGTTGAAATGATGAGAAGAGGGAGTCACCACAACTTTGTCGACATGTGAAACAATCATTAGGGGCTCTGATCTACCTTTAATTTGGTGTTTACAACCTAAGTTGGAATTCATACATGAAATATATATAATGGCTTTTAGAAAGGTGTTTTTGCTTTCCTTCTTTTGAAACATTATATTGTTGTACATTGTGCTTATCATCTCATTTTAATTACTAACAAATAAGAATCTTTTTTCACATTGCAGATAACATATAATGTTCTAAAATTACCCCCTTCTTTTTAGTGTATATATTACAATTTGCATGCAGTGTATGTGAAAATCAAATTTCATATATGCAACATCATTACAATACTCTCCCGTTAAGTAGTACACTAGGGGTAGGCGTTTTGAGATTTGATTGGATTTTTTTCGGTTTCAGTATTTCAATTTTAAAAAAATGATATCATTCAGTTTAACATTAATTCGGTTCGGTTTAAGAACCCCAATTTTTTAACATTTCTTATTTTTCCAAACATAGTACCAAACAATACATATTCACATAGTTAAAATACAAACTCTAAACATTATATAACAAAATAGCAATCAAAAGTTTAAACACACTGCACGGTATAATTTGCCGTTCATAACTAACCAAATCTAATTAATTAAGAAGACCAATAAGATGCTCATATTGATAATCAAATTAAATTGAAACCTTGTAATTATTAAACTAACAGTAGGATTAATTTAATTGTGGTGATTGCCCCGTAAAACAAGAGGCTAACAACCTCACGGCTCTCTTTTCTCTCTTTGCTGTCTTTGGGAGTTTGGGACCAAAACATCGCTGTCATTAAATGGAATCGTTATCTTAAGAGCCACAAAATTTTAATCTTTCATTATCCATCGTTAATTGCATTATATTCCTTTCTAGGTAAAGGATACAAAACAACTTTTAACATTGCTTGCTGTTGCTTTTTGCTGCAAACAGCACAACATATCGGATTGCTA